TTCCCAGAAGGAAAAAAGTTGTTCCCCCATGAATGTCGAAACCCGAACGTTCTCCGCGAGGAGGAAAAAAGGGGGCGCGACAGATGCGGACCTGCCATTAGGCATTTCCGGGATGGCCCTGCGAGTAAGTTCTCTCTAAGCGTTTTAATTTCTTCTTTCCTTTACGTTATTTGCCTTTGCTGACCCTTCTTCGTCTGTTTATCAGACTCTCATCCTGGATATTGAGAGCGCTCGTCGGGAGGAGAAGAGGACGGCTCTCTATAAGAAGATAGAATCAAAATACAGAGAGTACCATACCAAACACCGGGCCCTAGTCCGCATGCTTGGTGAGGACACTTTGTTCCAAAAATGATGAGGAGTTGAAGGGGAAGGATGATGAGCTCATGAGGGTTTGATGGCGACCGGAAAAGCTTTTGAGGCGGAGTTTGAGGATGCTCGTGTTAAGGCACGTGCAGCTCGTGCCGCTTGCGGCTATGACCCCGGCACGCCCGGGATGGATGATCACGAAGAGGATTTGGATGGGCTTGAGCCAGATGCTTGGTACGATGACGAATACTCAAATGGCGAGGGCGTCGGTGGTGATGGCGATGGGGGAGCTGCGGCCGAATAGTGTGCTTTTCTCTGTACTTTTGTTCTCTCTTTTTTTTGCGGGCATTTGTTTGGCCCTTGTAAGATGACATTTTGCAATGATAATACTTTTGTTTTCAATTTTTGTTCTTGAACTTCTTATTTTTCCCTTGAATGTTATTTTTTTGTAATCGACTGCCTTGGTCACGATTTCACTTAGGTCGACTGCGAGTCGAGCTGGTTCGAGGTAGACTGTCGACTTGTGCTTTTAATCGAAAAAAGTCAAAATATAAGTTGCCTCGAGCAAGGTCGAATATTGATTTTAAATTGATTCGAACGAGGTTGTATGCGAGTCGATACGAGTGAAGTCGAATGTTTAACTCTGAGTGATTTGAACGAGGTCAAATATAAGTCGATTTGAGCGAGGTCGAATATTAATTAATTCAAGCAAAGTCGATTGTGAGTCGATTTGAGCGAGGTCAAATGTTTGACTCTGAATGATTCAAATGAGGTCGAACGTTAGTCGATTCGAGCGAGGTCGAATGTTTAACTCTGAGTGATTCGAACGAGGTCAAATATAAGTCGATTCGAGCAAGGTTGAATGTTAATTAATTCAAACAAAGTCGATTCGAGCGAGGTCGAATGTTTGATTCTTAATGATTCGAATGAGGTTGGATGTTTAACTCTGAGTGATTCGAGCGAGGTCGAATATAAGTCGATTCGAGCAAGGTCGAATGTTTGACTCTGAGATTGGTGTAATATATAAACTTGGCGGAGAAATGAGAAACTAGCTTGTTTGCGTATTTCTATTTGTTTGTACATTCATTGGAGAAGTTTACATGCTTTTTCTCTGTTCATACATACATTGGGGAAGTCCTAGTCTATCTAGTCCTTTCATCGGCCGACCTGGAGAGGTTGTCGAGAGGTCGGGCGATGAACTTATACTTAACTTCGAGATGCCCTCTTCGTCGCCTCGTTAAAAAAAACTCCTTGAGAAAACCCAATTGGGACAAAACTCGGGCGAGGGAAAAAGAGTGCGACTTGGAGGATGTCTTGTTTTTAGAAGTTAAAGTATTTGAGGTAAGCGACATTCCAATTGTTTGGTAACACTTTTCCCTCCATTGTTTCCAGTTGGAACAACCCTTTGCTTGCTACCGTCGTGATTTTGTATGGGCCATCCCAGTTGGTCCCCAGTTTTCCTTCCCATGGATCTTTGCTCGCCTGCGTTTTGGTTTTGAGTATGTAGTCCCCGACTTTGAGTGGCCTGACCTTGGCTTTTTTGTTGTAGTATCGCTCTGCTTGTTGCTTCTGGGCCACCATTCTTATGTAAGCCATGTCTCTTCGTTCTTCGGCCACGTCGAGATCTTGCCTTCTGTTCCTGTTGTTGCTTGGCCCGCTTTCATTTGAATATCTTAGGCTTAGTTCCCCGACCTCAACTGGTATCATTGCATCAGTCCCATAGACCAGTGAGTATGGAGTTTCCCCTGTGCCCGTCTTTGGCGTGGTGCGATATGCCCATAACACTTCTGGCAGCACTTCTGGCCACAGTCCCTTGGCGTTCGAGTTTCTTTTTCATGATATTCAATATTGTTTTGTTGGAGGATTCAGCTTGGCCGTTGGCGGAGGGATGATATGGTGTGGAGAGTATTATTTTGATGTGCCATTCCTCGAAGAACTCGGCGACCTTTTTCCCTTTGAATTGAGGTCCGTTGTCACAATTGATTTCCTTGGGAATGCCAAAAAGACATACGATGTTCCGCCATATGAAGGCGATCACTTCTTGTTCGTGTATCTGAGCAAATGCACCTGCTTCCACCCATTTAGAGAAATATTCAGTCAAACCCAAAAGAAATCGCACATTACCTCGTCCCGCAGGGAGCGGGCCGACGATATCCATTCCCCATTTGATGAAGGGCCAGGGCGACATGATTGAGTGGAGGTGCTCTCCAGCTTGGTGGATTATGGGAGCATACTTCTGGCATGGTTCACATCTTTTAACGAAATCGGCTGCTTTCTTTTTCATTGTGGGCTAGTAGTAGCCTGCTCGTATGAAACATCTGACCAGTGCTCGATTGTCGGTGTGAGCCCCACAGTGACACTCGTGGACTTCTTCTAGGACACACCTCGTTTTGTTCGGTCCCAGACACTTTGCTAGAGTGCCGCCAAATGTTCTCTTGTACAGGTCGTTGTCGATGATGCTATACCTGGCTGCTTGCATTCAAAGTTTTTTGGCCTCTTTTTTGTCGTTTGGGAGCATGCCGTCCTGTAGGTAGGTGATGATACGATTGCGCCAGTCCCAGGTAAGGTTAATAGTGTGTACCTCGATTTGGTTGATGGTTGAGTGGAGGAGTGTGACCATATTTTCTTTTCTGTTTATGCTTTTTGTGGTTGCTTCCAATTTGGTGAGGCCGTCTGCCTCGGTGTCCGCGTTTGAGGTATCTAGTCGAGCTGGCACTCATCGAACTCGGGAAGCAGCTTGCAGATTTCGGCCTGATATTTTTGTAGCCTTTGTTCTTTGATAAAGTCCCCGTGACTTGGTTGACGACGAGTTATGAATCACATCGAAGAACAACCCGTCATGCTGCAAATCTGAGGGCCAATTTTAATCCTACAATCACGGCCTCATACTCGGCCTCATTATTAGTCATATCAGGACACCATATGGATTGGCGAATTACTTCGTCTGTCGGGACTTCGAGTACGTGTCCCAGTCCAGATCCTAACGCGTTGGAGGCGCCATCGGTGTATAGAACCCATAGGTCGTGTAACTTCGGGGAAGTACTAGTTGCTTCTCTTTCGGCCTCGGTCATTATTCTAGCGCTGAAGTCGGTGACGAAGTCGGCAAGTACTTGTGACTTTATCGTCGTTCGAGGCTGATAGATTATATCATGCTCGCTTAACTCGATGACCCACTTAGCCAACCTACCCGACAGCTCGGGTTTAAGTCGGATATTCCTCAAGGGAAAGGTCGTGACCACCGAGATGGGGTGGCATTGGAAATAAGGTCTAAGCTTTCATGAAGCTACGACTAGAGTTAGGGCCAGCTTTTCAAGGTGCGTGTACCTCATTTTGGCATCGACCAAGGTTTTACTGATATAGTAGATTGGAGATTGCATACATTTGTTTTCGCGGACCAGAACTGCGCTCACCGCGACATCGGACATGGCCAGGTAGATTAGGATGCGCTCTCAGGGTTTGCCTTGGCAAGCAGCGGGGGTGAGTATAAGTATGCCTTTAATTCCCTGAGGTCGTTGACGCACTCGGAATACCATTGGAGTCCATTGTCCTTCTTGAGTACGCCAAAGAATTTGTGACATCTATCGGAGGATCGTGAGATGAACCTCGATAGTACGGCTATGCGGCCGGTCAGCTTTTGCACCTGCTTCTTACTGGTCAAGTTTTCTGGTATTCCTTCTATAGCCTTGATTTGGTCGGGGTTAACCTCAATGCCTCTCTGCGATACCAGAAAATCAAGGAATTTTCCTAAAGTTATGCCGAAGGCGCATTTCTCGGGATTAAGCTTCATGTCGTACCGCCTAAGTATGTCGAAGGCCTCCCTCAAATGGTCAATGTTGTCTTCCTTTCTTTTTGACTTGACCAACATGTCCTCTATATATATATACTTCCATCGTTCTGCCGAGTTGCTCTTTGAACATTTTGGTTACTAGCCTCTGATAGGTTACCCCTGTGTTTTTTAGTCCGAATGGCATGACTCTGTAGCAGTACGTCCCTTGATGGGTGATGAAGGTATGTTTTTCCTAATCCTCCTCCTCTATGAGGATTTGGTTGTAACCTGAGTAGGCATCCAAGAAACTTAAAAGCTCGTGTCCTGCTGTCGCATCGATGAGCTGATCAATGTGAGGCAACGGGAATAAATCTTTCGGGCAGGCTTTGTTCATATCTGTAAAGTCCACGCACATGCGCCACTTCCCATTTTTCTTTTTCACCATGACCACATTAGCAACCCATTAGGGGTACTTCGACTCCCTGATGGAGCCGTTTGCGAGCAGTTCTCCACCTCTTCGCGGACGACATCATTTATTTATGCATTAAATTTTCTTCTAATTTGCCGTACCGGTGGGTAGAGTGGGTTGACGTTCAGCTTGTGTGTCACTATTTCCTTCGGGATGCCTGGCATATCTACATGGGAAAAGGCAAACAAGTCCGCGTTGTTAGTTAAAAATTTATGGAATTTACCTGGTTCTTGAAGTTTGTGGCCGATGTAGGCTTTTTTGTTGGGGTCGCTTTTATCCAGCTGAATGGGATCGAGGTCTTCCACAGTTGATCCCGTGGCTTCCACGACGTCGGGGTCCTTGATGACATCATTTCGTTCGTCATCAGCTGACCTCGACCTCTCTAATTGCTATGCCTCTGTGCTTTTGTTTTTTTAACTGTTGGGTATACGTGCAGTCTTAGGCGATGCAGTAACATTCTCAAGTTGTGCGTTGCCCGCCGCGAATACTGAACACTCCCCATGGAGTGGGAAATTTTATGACTTGATATAGGCTGGACATGATGGCCCTCATGGCGTGTATCCAAGGCCGTCCTATGATGGCATTGTATGCCGTGTCATGATTCATGATGTGGAACGTTGTTTCCAGGGTGATACCGCCGGTCAAAATGGGCAATGTGATTTCTCCGGAGGTCCGCTCAACTACATTATTAAAACCTGTTAGCATGATGCAGCGTGGTACTATCTCATCCTCGAGCCTCATTTGGGCGAGGACTCTAGGGTGGATAATACATGCACCGCTTCCGTCATCAACCATAATCCATTTTACATCGGTATCTGAAATTCGTAAACTAATGACAAGAGCATCATAGTGAGGAAAAGTCAAACCTTGGGTATCCGACTCATCGAAGATGATACTTTCTTTGAGGTCATCATATCGTTCATGGGTGATCGACCGCTTTAACTCGTGGGTGGTCGTGAATTTCACATTGTTGATTGTTGCATCGTCACCTCCGCCGATGATCATTTGGATGGTACGGGTTGGGGAGAGCGGCTTCGAGGGGCCTTGATGTTGTTCTCGTCCGCGAGCAAAGTTCGCTCTTCCTCGGTCACTCATCAGTTCTCTCAAATGTCCCTGGTTGAGCATATTTACTATCTTCTGCCTTAAGGCGATGCAGTCTTCGGTCTTCTGGCCTCGCTCCTGATGGAATTCACAGAGGGCGTTCGATTTTTGGTGTTTGGGTCGGACTTCATCTTTTGTGGCCATTTCACCTTAGGGCCGAGCTTCTCCAGAGCGTAGACTATCTCTGAAGGAGAAACACAGAAGTTATGAGCAGATAACAGTAGAGGCACACCTCTTTCGTTTTGGTGATTCCCTGTTTGTGGCTTGAGTGAGCCGTCACCATGGCGGGGAGGTGGTACGACGGCCATTCTGGTGTACGGCTAGTGTCTTTCGCGATTAAGGCGCGGACCTGCATGATCCCTCTTGTTGTCGTTTCTGCAGTCTTTTCTCGACTCCATCTGGACTGACGTCAACCGCTGGGCTGGCCCATTAAGGTCGTCCTCTCCCGGTATCTTATCTACCCTTTTTGATGCTCTCTCGTTTGGTCGCGGAGTGCTTTGTTCTCGTTCTCCATCTCCTCCATTTTTCTTAGGATAGCAGCGAGGGCATCATTACCTGCATCATTAACAGAGTGAATGATACCTGTCGAGAGAGGCGGGGCGTATTGCTCATTGGTTGTTGTTGTGATGTCGACTCGCGTACCCTCTCCGCCCACCCTCTAAGCGAGTTTGTCGAGTATACTGTTCAGTGTATCCGTTAGCCATGCTTCTAGTAGTTTTTTCACCGCTGGTGGTGCTTCTCCCGTCGTGGACGTAGAGACTCCCTTTCCATGAGAAGCGGTAACGCTGCTATGAGAGAGGGTGAATCACTTCGCCTAGGTGAGGCGCTTGGTGTCACGTTCTCCTCGTCCTCTCCGTGAGTTTCATTAATGGTATTTAGGAGATTAGTAGTAAGGCATGCCACTGCTTTTAATCTTTCTTCTCATTTCCTGCCATGTTAGATTATGCAAGTAGGGGAAAGAAAGTCCTATATTTTGCTATTGGTGTATTTTTGTAGGTCTAGAAAGACTATGATTTTGACTAGAAACTCCTCACAGACGACGCCAATTTATTTGACCAAAAAGTATAGCACTCTTTGTTAAACTATTCAAAAGATAAATAAGGTGAAAGGTGAATCCTAGTCAAGCATAATAATTCTTAGATCTAGCTAAGTGTTTAAATGGTATCGTCTACTTAACACGCGGAATCGCTTATCAGATTATTAAATGCACGCTTTTGAGGATAAATGAAGAATGAATGATGAGCAATAAATATGGAAAATGGCAATAAATGTAAATAGGAAGAACGATTCACCCAAATATTGAATGGTGTGAAAGATCCCTCCCTCCCCACAACAAAGTGTGGCAATAAGTAAGAAAATGAGCAATACTTTCTTGGATCGTGTGAGTAGAAGGGAGGAATAATCGACAAAATCAATCACCGTGAAAAGGTAAACTTTTGTATTTTCTCTCAAGAGTCAACATATAAAATTTCAATACTGAATAATAAGTAACTTTAAATTTCAGTGTTCACATTTGAACCTTATCTGTCTGTCTGCTATCTATCCCTTCGGCTCTTCTCCTGCCGAGCGAGATTCATCCTACACTAAAGTCTAATTAATCAATTTCATTATAAAAATTATAAATTAAAGTGAGAACATATACAATTCAATCGTAATAACTTATCAAAGTTCACTTAATCGTGTTGAAAAATAAAAATACACATGCAAATACATGTGATTTTAATTTATTTATTTAATGCGAACATGAGTACGTGAAACAAGTTCATATTTGGCTGGTCGGCCAAAGAAACCTACATACTAGTCAAATATACAAAAGAATGTGTATAATATGTATATAATATACATTAATATACTAAAATATATATTTTGTCGGCTATTATTTTTTGGAAGCGGCTATAGTCTAATTTTTCCTAAATTTTTCACTTGTAATGTCACATTTTGAACGTGTGACGAGTATTCTTTTGCTTAACAATATTGCAACGTAAGAAAAAAGTGTGATCCCATGAATTTGCAAATAGTTGCCAAAGGTGACCTCAAGAACTTTCTTTTTTCCTTACACTCTTTTTCTTTAGAAAATAAATTGTCTTCTATACCCACTCCAAATTGTCTTTCACGTAAAATGACCATACTACTCTGTTCATTTCACATTGAATTTCTTTTTGTTTTTGACTTAATAATCACATTAAAAAAAAGTATTTCAAATTTTGTGTCTGTAAAGGGAAGTATCTAAAGACTACTAACTTCTGGTTTTAGGAGATAGAATAGAAAAGAATAATATCTAGAAAAAGTAAAAAGGGTCCCTACAAGTTTCTATTTTGCATAATGCATAATAAATTTCAAAATAGTTAGACAACTATTTGGACTACCAAATAAAAGAGAAGCTGATATTGAATCTGCTATAGGTCCCTCTTAAATTGTTTTTTTGCATATAAAAGAAATTTATTTTTTCAAATGAAACATCATTTAGGATGCCAAAATAAGAAATGGGTGAAAATTTATTTGAGATGATGAAAGGAATAAAAACTCTTCTAAAAACAGAAAAAAGAAAGACACCCAATTTTTAACCACTTATTAAAAAGAAAAACAATATAATTTCGTCTGGTCTGGCCTTATTTAGACCAGTACCACCCCCCTAGCAACAATAGTAAAATATATGTGGAGAAATAGTACAACTATAGAAAAAGACACTTATTAATTAATGTAAGAGACTTAAAACTGCACTTTTTAATTAATTAATTAATTATATTCCTCTGACTATGTTCCCCAGGTGGACTAAGACTGGTGTAACTAAAGGGATTATTAAACTTTCCTTTTAATATCAGACACACTCCTCACCTAAATTCCTCTTTTAATAGTAGTAATTGCTTAATCAAACTCATTCCTCGTATTAATTAATTCTATCTTTCTAAGCACCTCTCCTAATTAATACAGTACTAAGTTACACTAACCACTCCCCCCCCCCCCCCTCAATTACCCTATCAAACATTCCAAAAATAATTAAACAGATACTTTTATTAAACCTTTTCCATTTATAGTCACTTTCAATCACACTGACAATATTAAGTGGGCGTTTGGACATTAAAATTATAAAATTCCGGAAAAAAGTTTTAAAAGAAAAATCAAGTGAAAATGATATTTGAAAATTAGAGTTGTGTTTGGACATGATTACAATTTTGGGTTGTTTTTGAATTTTTGTGAGTGATTTGAAGTGAAAATTTTGAAAAACAGTGTTTTGAGTTTTTCAAATTCTTGAAAAATTTGTAAATTCGTCTTCGAGTGAAAATTAAAATTTTCATGGCCAAACACTGGTTTTGAAAAAAATAAATTTTTTCTGAAAAAAAGTGAAAAAATATCGTATGGCCAAACGGCCCCTAAGTTCTTTCATGCCCAATATAGAAATTTTCATTTTATCTTTCTGAAGGTTAATTTTAACAGTTTTTTTTTTTTTTATAAATGAAACTTTATAGCAGCTCTCAAAATAATAGCCGAAAAATATGTATTTTTTGTATAACTTTTTTTTATATATATACATTCTTTATGTTTTATACAAACTTGTTATACCTTTATAATAATATTTTTATTATCAACAAAAAAAATTTCATCTTGTGATCAGTTGTAAATCATTAAATATATCTTACAAATAACGGATAAGTGAAGTTCACTATTAGACACTTCTACTACCCATTAACAAGTGAGAAGTTCGACAATCAATATTTAAATTAAATATTCGAATTGTATGAAAGATAAGTGGAGATACTGTTTATCCTCTCTCCAATGGAAGAAAAAATAAATAAATCTCATAAACGACACAAGACTCCATGTGGTTCTTTATAGTAGAGACGAAATTCTTGAATTGTGCAATTTTCAATAAATGAAAGATAATTCTTTATTGTCATGTTGTGGGGCCTCATAATTACTTCTAGTAGCTTAATCATTTAGTCATCAATAAATGATTAAACCCATGCATACTCTTCTTTTTATTTTTGCTTGTCCACGATAAACTTCACACATCCCTTAAAAATTAACTAAAATAGTATATATTTTATCATAACAATAATAATAGCATTTCAAATTATCTTGAGAAATAATTTTAAAAATAAATAACTAATGATAAGAGTAAAATTTAAAAAAAAATCTCTTGATTTACTAAAATGAATAAATAAAAGTGAAAAATATATATTTTAGTATAGTGGATAAGTAATAGTGAACAGAGAAAGTAATATATAAGTAATTCTATTAGAGGCCACATATCTTAATTAATTCATTAATATCTTAATTAATACATTAATCATTAGTAGAAATGATTAAACCCCATCATACTATAAATAAAAGAATAGTACTCAACAAATAATTTAAAAGTCCCATAATTTTTTCTTCGGTCCAAGATTTTCTCTCTCTAGAAATGTCAATCTCCATCTTCTCAAGTGCCATTGCTACGCGTAGTAGTTGAAGAGAGAGAAAAAATAGGGAGAGAAAAAGAAAGAAGAAAAAGATGCCAATAAAACAAGCAAAAAATGATTGCAAAAAGAAGAAACTTTCTTTAGTTTATTCTTTATAATCTAATGATGTTGTGTTAGCCATTTCCTCATATTTCTCTTCTATTTCCCCTCTTCTTTTGCCATCTCTATTTTCTCTCTCTCCATTTCACATTTACCCCTTTTTTTTTTTTCTTTTTCAAAATTCCATAATCAGCTGACACCCACCTTTTATTTCTCTCTCTATCTCCAAAAAAAAAAAAAAACTTGAAAAATAAGTGGATCTTGCTGCTACCCATTTCTTTTCTCACCGACCCCCTTATCAGGGTTTCAAAAGTTGGACATTTTGGGATTCACATTTTAGCTTCTGGTGTCTGGATTTTAGGTGATGAATTTGAAGGTTCATATTTGCATGATCCATATTTAGGGTTTGGATTTTCATTTTGGGTAATATTGAGGTGGTTTGAGGACTGGGTGTTCAATTAGTTTGAATACTATTTACTGCTTTGAAGGTGCTCCACTTACTCCAAAGAGTCCTTGTGGCAACTTCACCAGCTTTCTTCATTCAGGTAAAAATAAAAATTCACAAATGATAATTTACATAACTATCTTTAGGTTCAGTTTCAGCTTGTGGTATGTTATTGTTTTTCTTTTTTCAGTCATTTTAGGGCTGTTAGCATTTATCTATCTTGATACTTATGTTTTTGAAAATGTATTAGCATGAATTTGATTGGTCTTTAAGTTATAGAGGTTTTATTGATTTGAGGGTTGGGGATTCTTTATTGGTGTTGCTGAAGTTTCTGACTTGTTAATAGCTTTAATTTGAGGTATTTCACGTATTGTAGGTATTAGATTTAACAAAATTAGTATTTTGAGGCTGAGGTTATGCTGAGTGATCTAGTAAATTGTGAAATTCGAGATTTTTTATTTGATTATTATAATGCTTGTTTACTCATAAATGTTATATTTTTTATTAACAAAACAAACGCCCAATGGTGGAAGAGGTTCACCTATGCACGATTGATTTGCGTTTCAGCAAAATCATTGAGTTTGTTAGCTGATTTGAAGCTAAATGATTGGTCGATATTCTTGGCGGTTTCTTTATGTTGTTCAGCTGCTATTAGGTTTACAAAATATACTTACTTGAGTTTTGGACAAATCATTACTTTTTGTTTACAGCTGGATGTTTAGCTGAGTTTTTTTCTTTTTACGAGTATGGGATTAAGTGGTAGTTGATCGATTAATTTGTAGATAAAGAACTTAAACCCTCTCTTCGCCGTGTTTCCTTCATTTTATTTCAAGAAGTTATTATGTCACAGTATTTGGTAGTTGGATGTGATAAGGTGACGTGATGGGTTTTTAGAAGTTTGGTGCCCTGAATTATGCGTTAAGGAATTTAAGAATAGGTTATTATTTGGAAATAAGTTACGGATATCATGATATTTGAGTGGTCTCTAAATGATAATCTTTTTCTTGAGTTGATAGTCAGGGTCTTTATTATATTTGACATTTCAACCTTTTGAGGCTGATAAACTGGGAATTTTGAACTTTTTCATTCTAAATGTTTGTTTAACGATAATTTGTATTGAAGATTGGGTGTCTTTTGTAGAGAATCATATCTGTTTGTAGATTTTCTATATACATCTTGTATATTGGGGAGTCTTCTTTTACAATCATCAATAAAATTATTTTCCTTATCAAAAAAATAATAATATATTTACTGATAAATGTTATGATGGAACCGACAAACGCTTAATATGATGTAAGAGGTTCTCCTATGTACAAATTGATTTCCTTATCAGCAAAGTCGTTGAGTTCGTTGGCTGGTTAGAAGCTATATGATTGGTCAATATTCTTGGCTGTTTCTTTAGGTTTTACAAGCTATGTTTATTTGAGTTTTTGTCAAAACGTTCCCTTTTTTGCTCACCTGGATGTTGAGATCAGCATTTTCTTTTTTCAAGTATGGGATTGAGGTATAATTGATTTGATTTGTCGATAAATAAGTTAAACCCTTTTTCTCCCCGTGTTTCCTTCATTTTATCCCAATAAGTGATTATCTCACATTTTTTTAATAGGTAAGTGAACATTTTATTGAAACAAAGGGAGCACAAAGATTGTGCTATTCGCTACATCTGGATCCTTACAAGTGTACCAATTTCTGATTATGTCACATTAATTGGTAGTTGTGATAAGTTGATCTAATGGGTTTTCAGAAGTTTTGACTGCGATATTTCAGAATAGGTTATTCGTTTTTCGTCATGAACCTTTTTCCATCTTTGTTACTATTATTTAAAAATCTCAATCTTGCTTTTCAAAAGTTGGCAGTTTCTTTATTGTCATTCATTTTATAGTAAGCGCAACTGGTTTGTCATGAATGATGTCACTCCTTTTGGATGTGTTGCCCTTATTACTCCCTTGACCTAGTAACAAACAATTTTATATCCCTTACATTCGCCGTCACTTTTGTTTACTTCTTCAACCTTTTTTTAGGATATGAGTATGACAAGTGAAAGCGATGACAGGATGACATCAAATGTTGGTGTGGATTCGCCATCTGTTGAAGAAGCCTGTGGTGGAGGAAATACCGGAGGAGGTCTACCACTAAAAAAAGGCCCCTGGACTTCTGCAGAAGATGCAATTTTAGTGGATTACGTCACGAAACACGGTGAGGGGAACTGGAATGCCGTCCAGAAGCACTCAGGACTTGCTCGATGTGGTAAAAGTTGCCGTTTGCGGTGGGCCAATCACCTGAGACCAGATTTAAAGAAAGGCGCTTTCACTCCCGAGGAAGAGCGCCGCATAATTGAACTGCATGCTAAGATGGGAAATAAATGGGCACGAATGGCTGCTGATGTTCGTAACTTCTCTCAATCTGCTTCTTTTTTTGCAGTCTATATTGCTAATGGCTTACTTCTCCTCAAATCTTATCTCTGATAATAAAATCCATAAATGCTATCAGATATCATTATTTTAGCTAAACTATTTCCTAGAATTTGGTTAAACTGACAGTTCAAGATAACTTTTGGTAGAAACAGCATTTTTTTTCATGTTTTACTTTCTGCGTTATCTACACGATCACATTTCATATACCCAAATCATTCTATTGAAAATTTTAAATCATGTTCTTGAAAAAAATAGGAATGAGAACAGAATCATATGTGAACTTTGTTTTATTTAAAGAAAATCCTTGTTTTCAGTTGATGTGATGCACTACTATATTATTTAGTGGGGCAGTAAAATTTCTTTCCTTAAGTTGGTGGGTTGAGCTGGTTTAAAAGCCTTATCTGCCCCTTAAATAATTTAAACACCAGTTTAAAATCACAGTACTTGGGAAATGACTGCCCATCTTTTCACTTTTAAGTTTCTATTTGATTTTGCTTAATTCTTTATCTTAGCTGGATGTTATACCTGGCATTAATTGACAAAATCTATAATTAGATTGATAATCACCATAACACATTCCAAACAGTCCTTGCTAAGCATTCTGCTTTTGGGAGAAACAATTAGTGTTCTCATATTTTACCTTTATATAAAAATGTAGCGTTCTTTCAATATGTTTATTTAATAATGTGTTATCTGCTTGTCTTCAAGTTTTCAAGTGCAATGTTTAGAAACCTTGCTCAAGTTTTTATCATTAAATAGTATTATCTTTTCTTTTTGTACTCCCCTGTTTGTTGTTAAGCTCTCTGTACTTCTTATCTTTTGTTTTTCTATTTGTTGTCAATTATTGCTCAGTTGGTATGAAGTTAAAGTCTGATCCTCAATGATATTAAGGTGTAAGAGGGTGGTCTGGTAAAGCTATTAACATCATCTTTTGAAGGGAGGAGGAAACAAGTTGATCAACTGTACCTTTTTTTTTCCTTCTAGAAACCAGCCTGGATGGTTGTTCCATCTGGTTGGTCCTAGACATTGAATGCCGTTTGCCTGATTATTGATTCAAAACTGGTAACTTGGCTCAGATCGGTTTGATCCTTGTCTGGCTCTTATTAAGCTCTTGTTCCATCATTTAGTAAATATAAAACCCTTTCTCAGTCGTTATTGCTATATAATGTTAAGCAGAAGACACATGCACATCCTCCTACCCCTCTCTCGTGCGACTGAATGAAATGTTCCAAGGCAACACTTTTTAGGTGTTGGCCATTTATGTGCTCATTTATTTCCTTATTTTTCTGTATACAACATGTGCAAAATATGTGAATATTTTCTTTTTATACTTTTGCAAGTAATCAATCAACTACACCTCAATCCATAATAATGAGGATCAATCAATACTTCCGCAATTAACCGAAAAGAGGTGTTGGGGTGGGATTGGGTACAAAGTTATCCTTATCATTGTCTCAGCTTACCGATCTCCATGTGCAGTTATCCCTAACTTCTGTTGATATTTTAGGTGCTATATATATATATATATATATATATATATATATATATATATATATATATATATATATATATATATATATATATTGCAAATATATGTGCAGCATATGGGTTTTGCTTTAGATCCTGATCAGGTTATCGAATTAACAGTACTATGAAATTTATTCAGATTATCCATTTAAGGAGTTCATTGTTCAGTTGAAGTGCACACTTGTAGTTTATAGCCCTATCATATACTGGCCTTGTTGCTGTTTTTTTGGAAGTAATGCTAGTACTTTCGGATTAGCTCTCCTCAGCTATAGTATTCTTTTCCTTCTCCTTTATTCTTCATTTTCTCGCTGTTCTTAACATTGGGGAGTGTCAAAATGTGACAAATCGTGGCATGGTGAGAAGTGTTGTGATATGAATTTATAGTCTAACAATCTTTTATCTTAAAAAGTTTTAAGAAACCAAATGTAAAAGTGTCTGGGTCATTGGGATTCAACATATTACAAGGGTCTTATCTGCCTTGACATATTTATCAATAATTTTATAATTCTATTGCACACTTGGTAATAATCTCTCGACTTGGATAGGAGTCTTGATTCTGGTGAGTAAGAAAAGTAAGTTATTCTAGGGAGAAAGGGAAAGTACTCATAGTGAATGCCACATTGTTGGGAGCGCCTAACTACCGTGATAAATTTCTCTTCACTCTTTTGCGACTCTTTTGTGATGTTCCAAGTTATATTCCACCATATAGTGCACATGATTTTTCTTTAGGTGGTTTCGTGTAATGTGTGTCACCAGATATGAATAGTGCTTTGTTCTTGGTAGAACCTGTATGTATGGATATATTTGGATAATGTTCTTTGCAGACTGGAAATGTGGGTTTTCCCCTCTTCTATCAGTACATTTAGCTCTGTAACTTCCACTATTTGAGATGACTTTCTACAAAATAACAAAAACTGTGACCTCACCATGTTCTCAAATTGGAAATCTTGTGGTATATCATTCATTATTCCAGTTTAACATTTGATGCCCCTATTCTACTTTTTCAGTTGCCTGGGCGCACAGATAATGAGATAAAGAACTACTGGAATACCAGAATAAAGAGACGACAGCGTGCAGGCTTGCCAGTTTACCCTCCAGATATTTGTTTTCAGGCGATTAGTGAAAACAAGCAAAACGAGGAGTTGGGTGCATTCTCCTCTACAGATGCACAATATCCTGATTTCTTACCAATGAACAATTATGAGATTCCAGCAGTTGAGTTCAAAAATTTGGAATTCAATCAGCAGTTGTGTCCACCACCACTTCTTGATATTCCCTCCGGTAGCTTACTTGATATTCCTGCGAGAAGCCTGTTGGCACAGGGTCTTAATTCTGCCTATTATAGTCGGTCATTCCTCTCAACGGTGCATCCAACCAAGCGTATGCGAGGCTCCGAGTCCGTGTTCTCTGGTTTGAATGATGATTCTTCTCCATTAAAAAATAATGATTCTTTCCCAAGCTGCCATCAATATCAGAATGATGGTTCTTTGCTTGCTCAGTCCTTGGGGTTTTCATCTTCATATTATCGAAATCTAACATCTGATCATCACCCGACATCCTTGGGTGTAATTCCTGGCAGCCATGCCCATTTAAATGGCAACTCCTCTTCTTCAGAGCCCTCACGGGCAAAGAAGCTCGAGCTCCCTTCACTCCAAAGTCAGATGGCAAGTTGGGGCTTATCTTCTTCCCCTCTTCCTTCACTCGAGTCCGTTGATACTTTGATTCAGTCCCCTCCAACTGACCAGACTGAGTCCTGCAATCTGTCACCTAGGAACAGCGGTCTGTTGGACGCTGTACTTTATGAAGCACAAACTATGAGAGCTTCAAAGAATAACTTGCAGCAGGAGAGTTCTGATGATGTGGTGGATAATTCATGTCCAGATCTCCATGAGACTGGGTGGGAAACATATGGTGATCCAATCTCTCCTTTAGGTCATTCTGCTGCATCTGTGTTTAGTGAATACACCCCTACTAGTGGAAGCTCATCAGAGGAGCCCCAGTTATTGACAATGCCAGGTGAGACTGATTATAATATTCACTTCTCTTTATTGCGTTAACAGTTGAGAACATAAATTTTATGTAATTTGATTGTTTTGTGGTTGTGAAGGTTGCAAGGTTAAGCAGGAGAAGTTTGATTTCGGGCCCTATGATGGGAAGGAAGACGCCTCAAACCCAATCTTTTCCAGGCCAGACTATTTGCTTGACTCCAATTGTTTCAGTCCTATGCAGAACTATGTGAGAACCATTTGGCGCTGAAAGTTGGCTACGGTCCTTTTGATGATTATATTGGTAGTCAAACCATCAGATCAAGTTTGTGGACATGGCTCTTGCACAGGGGATGCCATGTCTACCATCTAGTCAATAAGCTCAGCAAGATTATGGTACTTTTACGCTTTGCCATACAAACTTTGATTGTCTCAGCTGTTAAACAACAATAGAAGACAATATAATATTTTTCGATAAACTGAAAATGACTTCTGCATGTTAGATTGTCTTGAGTTGTGAGAGTCTTTGATGCAATGCATCTCCTTTGTAGTATTGCTGATTGCAGTATTGCTTTTCTCTTAGTATTTTATTTTATTAATTGGAGAGAACTTCTAGTTTAACGGTAATTTGCCTTTAAATGTAACAGGATAAATAGAGCTTTATGGATACAGAGGATTCATATAATTAGACCCAACTAATATGTGATTGAGAGAATATAAATTGGGAAGTGAAACCAACCTGAATACACCTAGCTGCTCCAATTATTAATGGAATGAATCCTTCGTCGGCTCGAATTCACTGCTTCGAAAGAATATAAAATCCTAAGAATTCGAAGATGAAATCCCTATTTTTTATTTTTCAAATAATTAAATTTCTTTCAATCAAAGGAATAATGTATCAGAAGGTCTAACGTTAAGTAACATAAAAATTTGTGATTTCCAGAAGTTGACTGGTAGCCTTTTCAATTTCATTAGGTAAATAAATATACACGCACACATGTATCAGGATTCAGGAATAAGATATTTGGATATTCTGTTCCTCTTTTTGTCCCTTTCAATCAAATACGTAGAAAGGAGAAAAGGTTTAAAAAAGGCAACTCAGACTACTTTGCTAAGCCCTTTGCAATATATGTCTTCACTAGAGTTGTCAATACGGGCTGAGCTGGGCTGACCCACTATTTCGATAAGTCTTAAAATGATCAGCCTGACTCAATCCTATGTGGGTACGGGGCCGCCCACTATTTTTATAAATTGTTTTCCCAAAATTGCAAAACATATATATTTACAAGCCAAAGAACTTACTTGTTGGATAGTAAGTTTCTACAAAACTTAATAACTTTTGATATTGTTTCAATAGATTACTATAAAACACAAAAAAGGAGGACAATATTTCATTCATTAAAAGTCAATACTCAAAATAAACTGTTCAAAAATATTTTCAACGTGCTCATTGTATATCCAACGCCAATAAATCATCTTCATCTAGCACATTGAAATTCTCTTGTGAAACAAAAATGTCTTGACATCTTCATTTTCTTTTAAATCTGTAATTATGTGCAATGTTAATTAGTTAAACATTAAGAAATAACTAAAATTTTAAGGACAAAAAATAATTGTATTCACATAAAAAGTATTACTAGTTTAGGATTGGATTACTCTTCTTGTTATTTTAGTTTCTTATTTTTTATTTTTTTTTATTTTTAATTAAATACGTTATTAAGCCCATGGGTCGGCCCGCCCAACCTCGATCAAACCTCATGGGCCACGAGCTTACTTGGGGCTTAAAAGCCTCATTTTTAAATGAGTTCCAAATTTTTTAGCCCAACCCTATTAAATCATGGACTAAGGCCGGCCCACTGGGCCAAGCCCATATTGATGGTGTGGTCTTCACGTAAGGTGAAAATAGCATGGGCTAGCCAGTTTACGGACTGGTAATTGAAAAATAACCAGCATTTGCAAGGTCAATGAAAAATAACCATTATTTTGCCGCAACACGAAAAGTTCCAGCATAATATACTGGAGAGTGGTGCACCTGTGCAGGAAATTCCAGCATATTATGCCGGAACTCCAGAACTCCAGTATATTATGCTGGAATATTTTTCGAATTTTGAATAGTGTTTTCGTTCAGATATATCTTCACATGAACAGTGGCTAAATTTCGATTACTTTTGAAAGTGTGACTATTTTTCAATTAGCACTTGTAAATCTGGCTATTTTGAATTTGACGCCGAATGTAAGTCCTTACTATGGGCAAAGGAGTTAGTGTGCATTATTTTTAGCGTACTCCTATCCATAACATTAAAATATCTTTGCAATGACAATTGTAAGCTAGCGGTTGGACATATATTTGGTTGAAACTTAAAAATAGAGTTTTTGAATTTGTGTTGAAAAATAAGTTTTGGAAGATGAAGTTATGTTTGGATTGCATTTTATTTGAAAAAAAAGTTAAAGTTTTGTGAGCGTGTGGGAAATTTTCACCAAAAAAAAGGCCTAAACCATTTCTGAAAACTTGAAAAAAAAATTGATTTTTTTTTCATAAACTGATTATATTCCATGAGAAAACATTGTTTTCAAAAATAATTTCAAAAAAACTGCCAAAATCTATTACAAAACGGGTCCTTTTCACGTCAGAAACAATATTATTCCCTTCTTTTATGTGAGCCAAATTAGGTGGGATGAAGTTTAAGAAAGAAAGAGACACTGAATTAAAGAAAGAAAAGGAAACTTTTTTGGAGCCAGTTAGCATTACGATTCCGGAATTAGCAACAGATGGTGTCCCTCGTCACAACAACATAGCATTGAAACCGCACCTTATAAGATTATTATCTTTAAAAATGGTAATCTCCCACAGAGTCAAATTATCAAACACCTGGCGACCACCGTGCTCAGTCCTCACCGTCATCCGTCGGCTCCGCTGCCAATTCACCTTCTCCACTTGTTGTTCAGAGTGTAATGACTTTTTGCCGTGGTTGGAACACAAGGCCGGGTTGGAGATATCTTCCTCGCTTTCAATTGGAAACTCCGCTCATGGAAAATCACTCGTTGCTCGTCACCCCATAAAAGCAGGCGATTGCTTGTTCAAGGTTCCGTACAATGTGCAATTGGCCCCTGATAATCTCCCCAAAGGTATCGATACTTTATTGGGAGATAATGTAAGCAATGCCGCTAAAGTTGCCTTACTCGTTCTATATGAGCAGAAGTTGGGCCACAAATCTGAATGGGTCCCTTATATTACTCGTCTTCCCCGGCTTGAATATATGCATAACACAATATTCTGGGATGAGAATGAGCTACAGATGATTCAACCAAGTTCGTTATATCAGCACACAATTATGCATAAGTTGTTTGTTGAACAAGAATTTCTAACAATTAAGAAGGCTGATTTTATACCAGATGTGTTAACATTAGAGGACTTTAAATATGCATTCTCTTTAGTTACATCGCGAGCATGGGAAAGCTCTCGAGGTGTATCTATGATTCCTTTTGCAGATTTTGCAAATCACAGTGACCTTTCGGACACGATTGTATTGAGTAATGAAGAGGAACAGCTCTCAGAGGTTATTGCGGATTACAGTTATGCTCCTGGTGATGAGGTGCTCATAAGATATGGAAAGTTTTCAAATGCAAGACTCCTTTTGGATTTTGGATTTACTCTTCCTTGTAATAAGTATGAACAGGTTCAAGTTGAGCTGAGTATACCTCATGAGGACAACCTACGTCAGTTGAAGTTGGAGCTATTGAGCAGACACAAGATGCCAATTCTTAAAGATGTCAATGGATTAAGCTCTTCTGACAAGTCGTTCGCGCTCAAGGAGGTTAGGGGGTACGCTCATGACGGTAAAGGTAGGGGAATTCCACAGTCAATTCGTGCGTTTGCTCGTGTTGTGTGCTGCACTTCTCCACAAGAGATGAATGATTTGGCTGTGGAAGCTGCAGAAAATGATGGTCGATTGGCTCGGTGTCCGCTCAAGGACAAGAGCAGAGAGATTGAAGCACATCAGTTTTTGCACTCAAAAATCAATGAGCTAATACAAGAGTATAATGCATCTATTAAGTCATTGGAGCTGCCTACTACTCTCTGCATGGTTGGAAAACATGATCTGCGGAGAGAAATGGCTCAATGCCTTCTCATCGGTGAGCTTCGTGTACTGAAATCTGCTGCACTATGGCTGGAGCATTATTGTGCAACTTTATTAAGAGTTTAGACAACATTCTTATGCTCATTCAAGAAGCAAAAAAATAAGGATACTTTTGAAACCTGTGACCTTAAACATATCATAATATTTGTATGATATTTGTATGACTACAACAGCTTGTCAATAATATTTGCATGACTACAAAAGCTTGTCAGTAAGAGTGGAATGAGAAGTTCAAAGACAAATTATTTTCAAATTTAAAGAGCCGATCATTTTTTATGGAATAGACTAAAAAGGAGATAATGTCACATACTGTGTGTGGAAGAAAGTGAGTAATAATTTCTAGTAACAAAGGAAAGCTAAGAAATAATCAAAATAATTTAAATAAAACAGAAAAAGGGGGGCAAAGGTGTCAAAACTATTCTTTCATTTTTTAAAGGGAAAAATTTCCATACAGAGCATCCTTATTTGATGTTATACCTAATTGTTCGTAGAGTTGATAGAATAGCATGGAAGTTGGTCCATTTAATTAGTTGCTAAGCTGAGATTGGCAATGTAATAAGATACAACTATAAAGTGTAGAGAAGGGCCCTTCTAATCTTCACAAAGAAATGGCCAATCAGAAGGGCTCTAGTAAGAGTTGATGTGGCTCATCCTCGCAAATATATGGCTAATCAAAGGAGCTAATACACATTTTGATCTCGACCACGATTTATAAAAGTAAAATTCAGTATTTAAACAACAGGAAGATATTCAACGGAAACGGATGAAAATAGAAGTCCTCCCTAGCCAAGTACGTAAATTTATGGTGGTTCTGTTTACAAGTAAATTTGGGCGTGGATAGAGAACATAAGACAATGTCCATAGAACATTATATATACTTTACGTAACCTTCAGTGTAACAGGTTTTCATATAAACAGGTTCCGCCAATGCCCTGCCACACATTGCCTGCCTTTCTTTGCCATGCATAAGGTGGATCAGAGAACCAAGAAAGCGGGAATATCCAATCCACACTTCGCTTCGCTTCCTATATTTCACATTGCACATTTTACTGCTGCCAATTGTATTGTTGTTGGTTGCGATTCACATTTGAGCCACGTCCAGTGCCAGAAGCTCCATATGGAGGATAATTTGAGCCTCCGACACTATAACTGCTACCTCCACCTCCCCGGGGACCAGCAGCAGGCATTCCTCCTGAACCATATTGGGAACCCCTTCCTTGAGGTGGATAGCGACCACTGCCATAAGCTCCACCTTGGCCACGAGTAGGGTGACCATATCCTCCAGAAGGATTTGCACCAGCTGGATATCTGCTTGGCCCTGCTGGAGGTCCATGCGGCTTCCCATAGTGGTGGCTCGGTCCGCCAGCAACCTGAGGTTGGGATGCATGCAATGGGGGATTTGGGCCTGGTCTCATTTGAGGATGTCCCTGCCCTGACTGCTGAACCGGTGGAAGCCGACCATGCTGCTGCTGGTGATGCAGTTTTTGGCGTTTAGCTGCTTCTTCGTGCTGCCTCTGCTGCTGACGCTTTTTCTTTGTCTGGAACTCATGTGAAGCTTCATAGGTTGGCAAACTGTTCAAGCAAATAATTCCTAATTAAAAGAGTTGCTCGCTAGAAGAACATATAGGGAATTCATAAAGTGATTCTTTGTAATAAAGAAAAGAGAATCTCTTTTTTGATATTTTTAAGGAAAAAGGATTATCTAGAAAGAAATACCTCTTTGGATCGCATGGTAATGGATCAGTCCAGAAATACTCGGCATCAAGTGCATCCTTGGCTGAAATTCTCTTCACAAGATAAAAAGTAGAAAAGCAAGTCAGTCAGGATATTCACATCATTCATAAGAACAGATCCTTAACGTACAACTGGGAGCGGAATCTAATGGCAGTTGGCACACATTTTTAGTGCACAAAGATAGTGTTTGCTCATGCAATGAGACTATTGCAGAATATTCACACTTCAGCTGGTTAGCAGGTGCAAATTGCACAGGCAGATTCTGCATCTCTTTGGTCTCTCAGTGGGGAGGACATTGGAGGGGATGTTGACTACGAGAGTCAGTCAAATTACTAGCATCATTAGTGCACTGAAAGCCCAATTCTTACAAGAATCAATAGCAATTCCACGTGGCCAGATTTGAAATATAAGATGGTTAGGCACCTAATTAACTTAGATCAAACATCCCAAAAGGATCATACCTTTAAGAAATAATATGAATTATCACCGAACTGAATTCTCCCAAAAATCTGGTTATTCTATGAAATTTCTTGTACAGGAATTCATTGGAAAATTGCAATGAACTATACAAGCAAAAGAATACATGTCTGTATTTTATTTATTTGTCTCCCCCCCCCCCCCCCCAAAAAAAAAAAACCACCACAAAATAAGGCCTGAAAGAAGTAACAACATAAGTTGAAAATATGATGAGCTTGGAGATGGGATTCGTAGGCTAGCTTTGGTCTACAAGCACCATGTCAAATATATGTTTCAACATTGTCTTGTACTCCATTACTTAAAACAAGCAAAATAATGACATGCATGCCAGAGAAACTGATACTCCCTCCGGTCCAAAATAAGTGATTTTTTGGATGTTTTCACACAGATTAAGAAATCCACCTTTTAACATTAATTAGCAATGAAATTGACCATATTAACCTTTACTATCTCACATAAACACTCCTAACACATATTCCAACACTATTTACTCCAAGGACAATGTAGGAAAAAAATAATTAATTCATTCTTGAAATCTGGAAAAATCACTTATTTTGGACCACAAGAAAAAGGCCAAAAAATCACTTATTTTGGACAGGAGGGAGTACCTGAGACGGGTCCAGCGTTAGCATCTTGTCAAGCAACTCCAAAGCATGTCGATCAAAGCTAAAGCCACAGACACAATGATATAAATACATGAACAAGATCTATTTAACACAAATAACTATGCTGCGGAACAACTGCAAATATAGCACACCATATATAGTTTACTTACTGTCTGAAAACCTCCCTTAGACGTCTTTTCAATGGCCTTGATGGTTTGAAATTGTTATACCATGGAATCTTGGAAACTCCAGGCCAATTAACCTCGTCTGGAGCACCACACAGCTCAAAAATCTTATTCAACTGCTCTGGCTGAAATCATTGTTAAAGAGGGTTATTCACCTAGCCCAAAGTCACATTCAGACATGGTAGTGACTTTTAGCAGGTTGTTCAGACAAAAAGAAAATTGTCATTACACAAAATATCACACAGCTTTTAAGCTCCATATTGACAAGTAGTTTGAAAGTACTAATTAATTTGGATTTATGCAGATACTGCAGCTTCTGTTTTTTATATCCTTGGCAAACAAGTGTAGAATGAATCTTCAAATCTTGTCATAAGCTGGTGCACCAGCTCAAATATAAAAGAACTCTAACGGTGAGTATTAAAGATGCAACAAATTAAGTGTAGAAGCAATCAGTTGTCTTGAACAGACTTGAGGCTCGATGATTAATCAGGCATGCCATCGGCCAACCAGAAGTCAGATGTAAAGGAACACCAGACACATACATACTTCTTTAAAAAAAATAAAAAATAAGTACACATTGGGCAAATATCAACACATCACAATTCTTTTCAAGCGGAAGCTGTTATTATTTTTCCTAAGACTTTAACCGAGTCTTTGTCAGGCCGAGAATACTGAAGGAAGTGCATTTTAGTTAGACTAAAAACTTACATCTTCACTACTTTTGTAAGATTTAGGACATTTAACCAATAGAAAACATCAGCTACCTCATCCTTCCCTGGAAAGATTGGTTTTCCATGAAGTAGCTCAGCGAAGATGCAACCAACCGACCACATATCAACGGCTGGACCATACTTTGTGGTCCCAAGAAGCAGCTCAGGTGGTCTGTTTGATATACCACAAGTCACCACTCACGCGAGAAGAGAATTTAAAATGAAATCCAGCTTACCCCAATGGATCAGTGTCACAAATCATACCTGTACCATAAAGTAATTACACGATTTGTAAGATTTGCATTGTGATCATTTGAGAAGGATCGAGCAAGCCCAAAATCGGCAAGCTTCAAATTGCCTTTGTTGTCAATCAGAAGATTGGAACCTACAGGGAAAAAGAGTAGCCTTTATCACCACATTTAGAGAGATTGAAATTAGAAAATCAGCATGAATTTCCTAAATCAAACCTTTAATATCACGATGAAGCACTTGATTCACATGACAATAGTGAAGTCCCGTCAAAAGCTGTTTCATGTAACACTGCAAAAGAGAGAATGAAAATCAACATCCCACTCGCCATCTAATTGCTCGGAAATGGTACCAAACATGTTCAAGACAAATTACGCTACCTTAATCTGCGGAACTGAAAATCTCATTCCAGGACGATCAGCAAGCCCAGTCAAATCATGGTCCATGTACTCAAAGACCATGTAGATTCCACCTTTATACTTGTTACCATCTGCAAATGAAGCCATATTGTTACTTCAAATATGACAAACTCAATTAAATAAGTGATATCAGGACCGGCAGTTGTGGGGTTTGGTTGGGGGGGGGGGGGGGGGGGGGGCGAGGGGGTGGGGGGGGGGGGGGGGGGGACGCAAAAGCACCATATGAACTAAAACTGAATTTAAAAACACTTACCTGGCCTCCCTTGCTCATCCTTCTCAGGACCTGCAACAATTAAAAATTTGATACTTTCACAGCACTGTTCATCACAAGATAAAGAACAATAACAAAAGAAAAGACTCATACTCACTAAAACATCATTAAACTATTAGGGCCTTTGTATAATGTCAAATCTGATATCAAAAGGACGTATTTTGCAATTCAGTTTCGTCCCGTAATTGAATATAGTTGGATATTGGTGAAGACCACAGTCAATGCAGGCAAAACTTAGTGCATTAGCTGCGGAAAATATAAGAAATATTTAATAAGGTAAATAAATACTTGCTGGCAATGCAATTGCAAGGGCAGAAACTTTTGTATTGGTTCTTTATTAGTGGAGAAAAAAAGCACAAAAGGAGGGCACATAAGGAAAAAAAAGGACATATAACTTTTGTATGTTGCTTTCAAGTTCACGTAAATAAGGGAAGGTAGTAAACAGTAAAAGAACATAAGATGAAAGCATGTACATTATTTATATCTTACCTGGAGATGTTACAATCTCTTTCAGATTAATCACATTTTCATGGTGCAGCTTCTTCAAGATTTTGATTTCCCGTATAGCAGTTAT